CGTATGGATCTTTTTTTTTTTTTTTTTTTTTTTGAGTTGGAGTCTCACTTTGTCGCCCAGGCTGGAGTGCAGTGGCCGCTCCCGGCCACCGCAGCCTCGACCTGCTGGGCTCCGGCGATCCTTCCGCCTCAGCCTTCCAAGTAGCCGGAATTATAGGCATGCGCTACCACGCCCGGCTGATTTTTTGATTTATTGTAGAGGTGAGGTCTCGCTGCCCAGGCGGGTCTCGAACCTGTGGGCTCAGGCAATCCACTCACCTCAGCCTCCCAAAGGCGCGGGATTACAGGCTGAGCCACCGAACCCGGCTCGTGGGTATGGATCTTATACCATTTGGGGGGTATCTCTTAAGAACAAAACACAAAATTACACATACAAAATAAGTTAAAAGGTCATGGAAGTGGCCTATGCAAATAAAAGGCTCTGAACTTAAGTTTCATTAATTCACATTAAATCCATTTCTAGTCTTACATACAAACTTGAACCTCATTAAGTTAAAATCTGGATTAGTAATACAGCTAAATACATACACACATACACAGACACACAGATTAATCTTGAACTTCCTGTAAGAATCTAGGTACTTAGATTCTTGCATCGAGAGGTTTACCAGGAATTATACAGAACAATATTTAGTTATTTCAGGAGAACTATTTCATTACTACCCTCTAAGAAGTTAACCATACAGAGGAAAAAAAGCTGTGACTACCTGAAAGTCACATGATATTGATAAACTGCTTCGTTTTGACACTGTATTTTGATGAGGTTCAGTCCCAAAGTTTGAGGTGTTCCTTTTGATCCTTGCTTTACTAAAAGCTCTCTGGAAAATAAAAATATAAAGCACTCACATATATCACAAATAAAAAAATAAAATAACCAATAAACTCACACTAGGAGTTTATCAAGATGACTGACAGAAGTAATATTTTCTCATATGTTGCTATAGATACACAAACCAAGATTCAACACACATACAAGCAAGCTTTGACGGCTAGAAGACAAACCCTTGGCAATGTCCAATTAGATAAGCAAGATCATCCTATCTGTCCTAGTAATATTACTGGAATAAAGTAGGCTGCCTAATTAAGAACATAAGAATTAGTTCTATAAAGAAGATGAAGTGGGGGGGGAGGGGATTAACAGTAGCAAATATCTGTCTGGGGCTGGGAAAACACCTCTTATCAACAGGGTGTCTGAATGAAACGTAATTGTACACCTAACCCTTAACTGTACCCCACAAAACTATAATAAAAATACTGATTAATTATTAAAAAAAAAAAAAAAAAAAAGAAGATGAAGTGTCACAATATTTTTCTGAAATGATTTCCTTATCTTCAACATGACAAAGAAATGTCTGTCTGAATTGGGAAGGAAACAAAAACCCATGAGTCCACTCCCTGGTGCATAGTGTGTGTGTGTGTGTGTGTGTGTGTGTGTGTGTGTGTGTGTGTGTTGCATAGTGTGTGTGTGTGTGTGTGTGTGTGTGTGTGTGTATGTGTGTGTATGTGTGTGTATATATATGTATGTGTATATATATTCATTGCTAAACCCATATAATGTTATCAGGAATTGTCCCACCTCTTTGTGAATCTCCCACTGGCAAAAAATAAAACATCCTCTAGTACCCAACACCCAGAAGGGACTTTAACCACAAGAGAAACAGTTTTTACAATACTACACACAAGCCAAAATGCAGAAATTCACCAGGTGCCTTCTCCTGCTACAGTCATTACTTAGCAGAAAAGGCAATGCTCCTTACTTTTTCGTGTGTTCCACCGTCACATCCAGTGGGTGACCAGGAGAGCACAATGAGGACTGCGGCAGAGCTGGTGGCAACGACAGCTGTGGGGGGTCCTGGTAATTTGGGCTGAAGGTACCGGGAGGCTTGTCCATTCCTCTGCTGATACCACCAGCTGCTCTTCCCAGTGGTAACAAGGAAGCATTCGAACTCCCTCTTCCAAGCATCCTGAAATGGGGAAAGAGAGGCAAATCAGGGTTTTCTTAATCCTGCTTTTATCGATGCCCCATCTAGATTATTCCCCCAAATACACAATCTCTCCCTGGAGGAGTCAGCAAAAGAGACCCAAGCATAACCTTGGAATTTTCTCAAAATATAATATGCCAACATGACTCATTCACCAAGTGCTATTAATATAGGCTCTCAGAGTCATCTACAACAGCAGAACTGATGAGAAGTTTGACCCAACCATATTAAAAACCACCACAATCAGGGTAACTTGTCAAGAAGGCAAATGAAGTTCTGAATTGCCCAGTGGAGAAGTACTTTTTGCCCTTTTCTAAAGACTAACTAGGTCAGCAGCTGCTATTGTTGGAAAATGTTTTCTTTGATAAAAGATCAGGCATTGCTCACTTGTGAGACAGCACAACGCTTCTTAGAGTTTCTCTTTGAACTTAGAGATATTTCATCTGAATTCAATCGTTACTTGAGAAGGTAACATTACCCACCTATTCCAATCAACAGAGGCCTCTGCCATCTTGCTATCCCCAGCTGCCAACACTGAAAGATCCGGAAAAGTGGGACGGGGTTCCTCTTTGTCTCTGCACACCGTATTAGCAGACAAGCCTCGACCTAAAATGCCTCTGCCTGAGTGAAAGAACCGAACGCCAACGATAATTGTGAGTTACACATTTTAAAGTACAGTTATTTTTCTGAAAATAAACTGTACGGATTTAAAAACAAAGGAATCATACATAGCCACTAAATTTCTCAAGTTAGTTTTCCACATACCTAAAAGAGGCATTTCCCGAGGGGTCTGGGAAGCTGTTTCAAGGCCCATGCCTCGGAACATGGAGACCAAACTCACAGGTGCCTGTGGAAAGTCAAAGAATAAAGTTATTCTAAGATGTAGCTTAAGACCCCCGGAACAATGGACTTCTTAAAGTCTTGGTAAATAATAAAAACCATCTTCTTCAAATTCTATAAATGCAGAAATAAGAGATTAAAATATTTTATAAAATGTTCTAAAATACTTGTAACCTCAGCCTGGGCAAAATAGTGCGATCTTGTCGCTACAAAAAAATTTAAAAATTAGCTGGATGTGCTGGCATGCACATATCGTCCCACCTACTGGAGGCTGAGGTTGAAGGACTGCTTGAACCCAGGAATTCTGGAGGCAACGGGGACCTATGATTGTGTGACTGCACTACAGCCTGGGCAACAGTAAGACCCAACTCAAAAAAAAAAACAAAAACTTGTAACCATGTCATATTAGGTCTTTAAGCATAGTTATTATGACTTGATATACAGTATAAAAAATGCAACAGAATAGAATTAATTTGTTCATTTTTCTAGTTTATTTTCTGTATATACAAGATAAGAAAGAACAAGTATACTGGTTAATAAATTTTCAAAAATCTAAATCATTTAAAAGTATCAGAGATTTGGGTTTGCTTTTTTTTTTTTAAACAACATCCAACAAAACCTGCTACCACTTTCCTGTAAAGTTTACTACTGTTATACCCATTAGCACTGACATGAATAAAAGCTACTACATATAGATTCAAGCCATTCATCTAAGTAAATGACAAAACTACTGTCATAAACTTTTTTCTGACAAAAACAACACTACACTCAACACTGTCATCTCTACTTAAAATGATCACAACTGCATTAGTAGGTTCTTTCTATATTTGCTAATTCTCTGACATATTAATTATACGCAAATACTGTTTTTAAAATTACTATATATTTAGGAGATTAAGACTGCACACATATGTAAGTGTTCACATAGCAGCAGCAATAGCTGAAGATTCTCTTTTTAAGGTTTGGGCAAAGAGCTTTCTGAAGGGAACAAATCTAACCATTATTACCTCAGAGGCAAGAGTTACTGCTAATACCAGAGTCAAACCCAGAGTGCAAATTTTAACACTCAGAAAAGAGCAAGAGGATATATGTCTTTAAACCTATCAATTATGGGTGGATGGATGGATGAAAGGAAGGAAGGAAGGAAGCTAGAGGACCTAATGCACTTACCCATGTCCATCTGGTGTTCACTATGAAGCACTCTTTCTAAATTTGCAACCCTAGGACTTGGAGTATATGCCCAAAAGATGCCACTACTTGTTAAAGGGGAAACAAACAAACGAACGAATCCCTGTTGGGCTTCAGAGTTTTCTGAGCACTATGAAATCCATTACTTCCTCTGACAGCACAGGTAAGCTATATGCCACTACAATGCATTCAGATGTGGTCTTACCCTTTGTGGTTCCTCTGACTTTGCAAAGGCGTGGCTTCTCCCTCTAGGTTCTCCCCTGCCCAGAGCTGAGTACAAAGGCTTAGGAGCTTGTGGCCAACAGCCTGGCATTCTCACAGACTGACACTGAGATGGGTAGACAGGAGACGGGCCCCTGGACAGTGATTGGAAACGATCCATTGAAGGGCTGTAGAAGTTGCGTGTGTGGATCCTGCTCGGGTTAATTACCTGGCAGCATTTTAAAAAAGATTAAAGATTCCTAAATATTTTCCTTTACCTTCAGTACTTAAAAATAGTTACTTTGAGTCAGTCCAGTAATACGCCCAGTCTTCTATAGCATGTTCACTCCAAAAGCTTCTATTTGAGCCTGGAATATTCTAAACACCCTCCCTCTATTAGCAATCCCTTAGAGGCCCAAGCCCTCCTTAAACTTGTATTTCCTACCCAAACAGCTTATCAGAGAACTCAGACCTGTAAGTTAACTACCCATTGTAAAAGGAAGCAACTTTTAAGTATAGGGATGATTTTTGGTTTATAAACATATTTATAGTTAACATAGCCATATCATAAAATTATTGTCAATAAATATTTATAGGTTTTTTTTTCCCTTTGTTTTGGCCTCTTTCCTATACCAGAGCCCTAATTTTTTTCCAGTCTATATTCACACTAAATTCATCTCCTTGATGTCTCTAGTTGTTAATCTTTACTCCATTCCTTTCTATAAAACTCCTTTCAATTTTCACCAGAACTGAGATCTCCAGGGAACAGGGCCTTTCTGCTTCATGCCTACCAATACTCAAATGTATCCTGTGCTGACTCCCACAGGTTACATTTAACACTCTTCTCTTCCCCAAGTAACCAAGCATTAGGCTCCCCCCAACCTCCTGCGTTTAAGGTCCTCCAGGCCTCTTCAAAATCACTTTATAACCTACAGATTTCAGAACTCTCTCTTTAAGGAGCTCCTCTCCTTGTCCTGACCTGCCCCCTGATCCCTGACAAATCTTTCTTAACTGAAAAGTCTCTTAACTTTTGAAAGCCTGTTTTATATATGTAGCCACAGAGAAATCAGGCCATGCATTTAAAGAAAATATTAACACAAAATTCGTGGGTCAATAGTATAGGTGAAGGTAGTTTAAGAACTTGCAAATATTTCTTGAACTAAACCACCCACTTTTACACTATAAATGCAGGATGTAGGCCGGGTGGAGTGACTGAAGCCTGCAATCCCAACACTCTGTGAAGATCGCTTGAGACCAGTTCAAAACCAGCCCGGGTAACACACAGCAAGATCCCATCACTACAAAAGTAAAAATAAAAATAAAATCAGCCGGGCATAGTGACCCAAGCCTGAGCCCCCAGGAGTTCCAGTCTGCAATGCGCTATGATGGCGCCCCTGCACTCTAGTCTGGGGGACAGTGCAAGATCCTGTCTCTGAAATTAAATAAAAGTTGTAAAATGTAGGATCTGCCCCTCTTCTCAAAGGTTACAACAACTCTCCCCCTTTACGGTTATCACCCCTTTTCCGCCAGGCGCAGTGGCTCGGTCGGTCCATCCCAGCACTTTGGGAGGTCGAGGGGAGAGGACTGCCTGAGCCGGGGCGCGGGGTGTTTCAGGCCAGCTGGGCAACTTGGTGAGCCCTCATCTCTACAGTCAATCACAAACACTCGCCGGGCTTGGTGGCCTGCGTCTGAAGCTCCAACCCCTTGGAAGGCCGAGGCGGAGAGATCGCCTGAGCCCAGCAAGTCGAGGCTGCGGTGGCCGTGATCGTGCCTCTGCACTCCAGCCTGGGCGACAAGCGTGAGATTCCAACTCAAAAAAACCCAACCAGCCAACCAAACACCCCTTTTCAGTTACCCCGGGCTCTGCTCACACCTCCCAATCAACACCACCCAAAGCAGCCTGGAACAGCTACGCCTAGCTGGTACGTACTGGGGGGAACCTCAACCAGACAAAACAGGTGTAACCACGTCCCATAAGACCTTTAAGCATAAATCGTTTGCTTTAGCTGTAACATCCACTGCACTTGGCCGGAACGCCTTCTAATGTCAGGATTTCTGGAACATTCCTCCTCCTCCGCCCTTCCCTCCTCCACACCATCGCTGCAGGGGACTCGGGCGCCTCCTCCAGAAGGCCTTCCCTGAACGCGGACTTGCCCGGGCCCGCCCTCTCCGCTTCTCCCGCCCCGCGCTGGGGCACGAGGGCGAATCCCACCCGCTTCCCACCACGAGAAAAGCCACCTCTCCCCGAATCCACAGCCCGGCTGGGGGGGGTCCTGC